TTATGTCCAAGGAGGGCTTGCAGCAGATGGCGGTAGTAAGCCCTGCTGCATTGTCTCCTGCAGTAGCCAGAGCCACACACCAGGTGGCCAAACTGGGTCATACAAGGAGAGGACTCACCGTTGGGACACGTGGGAACGTGTTTGGCTATAGATCAAGATGGCAGCTGAATATAAGGGAACAAAGAAATTAAGGGGTTGGTCTCAAAGAAGCGAGGCTGCTGAGAGTCAGCAGGTATCAGGAGAGGGTCTCGAAGAGTACATACCCCTGCGGGGTCACTGTGCAGGAGCTGCTGCTGCCAACTGCACCACGTGTTGGGAGTGGAAGGCTCAGGTGATGTAGTGGGAGAGAATAGGAGAGGGGTCCTTTGCCCACACAGGCACGCACAGCCCAAGACCTTCTGTTGTCTGTGGAGTACTAGGGTTAGACCAGCCGAAGGACTAAAAAGAGAAAGACGGAGGAAAGGGGTGAGAGGGGAAACCCCTCACCCTTTTGGGCAAAGGCAGTCCGTAGGGCTCCCCTTGGACCTCTGGATGTTCTCAAGGAACAGTCCCAGCTGGAGATCGTCACCAAGGGAAAATTCTTAAAGAATCTGGGGATACAGTGTCAGAGCAAAGTAGCCCCCATGTAGGCCACCAAACACGGGGCGGCCTGATCCCATGGAGCTGGTGGCATGGGTGGGGAAAGAATTCACCCCAAACAGACCGAGGAGATAGAAGTTTATTGAAGACACCACAGGGGAGCAGCACGCAGGACAGCGGAAGAGAGTGTCTGCCACGAGGTGGTACCAAGGGGCGGGAATCAGGGAGGACTGTGAGGGAGTATGTGATCCTATGGACTTTTCCCTGTTTTGGTAACTGTGCCTGGTTGGAAGAAGTCTGCTGGCTACTTAGGGCCTCTGGCCATTTCCAGGTAGTCACTTCATGAGCCGGTTAGCATTCAGCTGTGGTCACTGTGGGCCATTTGCTTTGATGCTTATCTTCCCGTTGCTCAAGCTTATTGCTGGAAAGCGGGCCCCTACGTTATATTCCCCCCCTTCTGTTAAAGTCACCCTGGGCTCTGTTACCATCAGTCTCTCAGGGGCTCCTCCTTCTGGCGCCCTTCTGCTTGCATCCTGGGCACTGGGGTACATGGTCGAGGCCCTGCTGATTTCCGTGACTCTTCAGGAACTGGAGCTCCTCTTATGCACTACGTGTGCCAGGCCCCTGGGCCCTGTGTCCGTGCTCACTGTCCATCGAACCCAGGGACAGGGTGGTGTGTGCCTCTGCCGGGATAGAGGGGACTGCGCTAGGCTCCTTGACCTTGGTGCCTTCCAGCGAAAGCAGCACTGGAATCCGTGTTCACGGCATCCTGACATCTGGTTCCAGTTCTTGGGGCCGACGACGCAGTAATTGTCTTTGAACAAGTCAGAGATGTGTTGTCTGATTTTTCATTCTTTACCATAGAAATGTCCTCAGATCTGCTCGTTTTCAGTACAAGTAGCCTATATTTGGGTGTATGTACGTCTGTATGAGCTGTCATCATCGCCCCCTGCCTCGGGGTCCCAGCCCTTCCCGTCACTGAGGGCACTGCCGTGGATGTGTTTGCGTGTTGTCACTTCCCGCATGGGTGTGCCTGGGGTTCTAGGGTGGGATGCGGTTCCCTGCGTGTCGCCCCCGCATCCTCCCACACACACGGGTGAGGAGGGAGCGTTGCTGCAACAGAACATGTGGATGTTCCAGGACGCGGTGGTCTTTGCGGCTGCGGCTGCGAACTTCACCTGGGAAGAGTGGGCTCTGCTGGATGGCGGTCAGAGGCAGCGCTACAGGGACATGATGCTGGAGACCTGCAGGAACCTGGCCTCCCTGGGTAAGCGTGGCTCCACCCAGTCTCTGGAGTTGTAGGGAACGAGTGTTTCGTCAAGTGTCTGATCTTCCTGGGGCCGAGGACTGGGAATACGATGGAGAAGAGACAGACGTGGTCCAAGCCTGGTGTCCCGAACTGCTCTTCCTGGGCCGACCACACTCAGAGCTCTGCCCTTGGAGGCGACTTGCCCCCCATACCTTGGACCCTTCCTAGGGTGGTTTCTGTGTTTCGTGCCTCTCTTCTCCTAACAACCTCTGTCTTTACCACATTTTTTAAAAAAGATTTTATTTACTTATTTGACAGAGATCACAAGCAGGCAGAGAGGCAGGCAGAGAGAGAGGAGGAAGCAGGCTCCCCGCTGAGCAGAGAGCCCGACGCGGGGCTCGATCCCAGGACCCTGAGATCATGACCTGAGCCGAAGGCAGAAGCTTCACCCACTGAAGCACCCAGGCGCCCCCATACCTTCTATGTCTTTAACTCAAGTGGTGGCCCTTTCTTTCTGCTGAGTCCCAGAGCTCTATCCTACGATCCCATAAGCTGTGGATACCCGGGGTTCCTAGAGGGCAGAGACTGGGTCTCCCCAACTCCCACCACCTGTGCATTCAGCTCAGAGTCTGACCCAGAGGGGACATCCAGCAAATCAGTTTGCGGGAGGCAGACAGGAGTGAGCCACGCGGACGCTCACGGGGCCAAGCCCAGGAGGGTGAGGAGGAGAGGATGAGATCAGGTCTCCCCTTCTGTCACCCGCCTAGAACCAAGAAGAGCAGGAGGCTGCTCACTGGGGACATTGGTGGGTGAGGCTGTGGGAGGGGGTGGACTAGAGGGAAGGGGAAGGCGGAGGCAGACAGAGGGAGCCAGGAGGGGCGAGGCACCTGGTTACCAGCCTGAGACTGCATTTCTGTCTTTGCCTGCCCAGGGGTGCCCAGAACCCGCCGTGAGGGTGAGGGGAGCACGGCAGTACCCTCCTGAACTCAGTCCTCCCAGCACCACCTGTGCTGAAATGATTTGAGCAATGCCATCACAGGGACGGCTCCAAGAGTGGACACTGCTAGCCACCCGCTCTTCCCGTCCATCACGGTGGTCATGGCCCCTTGTGGGTTGGTTGGAAATGGAGTCGTCATCTGGCTTGTCCGTTTGTCCATCAGGAAAAACTCCTTCTGTGTCTACAACCTCAGTCTCTCCACGGCGGACCCCATGCATCCAGGCTTGCAGACCGTGTTCCGTGTGGGACGGATCCACAGGCCTTCCCTCCAGCGCTGCTCTCGTCCCTCCAGGATCTGTACGACGCTGAGCTTCTCCTAGTTCACTGGGCTGGGTATCGTGATGGCCATCAGCTTCCAGCACTGTCTGTCCTCTTCCCTAGCTGGTACCGGTGCCCTTGTCCCAAGCACCAGCCACGGCGAGCGTCTTCCTCTGGCTCCTAACCTTTTGGATGCGTATTCTGCGAGGCTACGCTGCCGTCCGCCGTCCCTCCAGACGGCTGGTTTCTGCTCTGCAATTGTCGCCATCCCCAGCGTGTGGACTGTCCTCCTCTCGGTCATGGGCATGTCCAGCCTGCTGCTGTTCCTCCGCATCCAGCTGCTGGACCCCATGCTCACATCTCCTGGATCTCCCCGGTCGTGAACCCCGCAGACCCAAAGCTGGGGGGCTGCCAACGGGGTCAGGGCCAGCACCTCTGGCGTGTCCAGAAACCATCCTTAGAGAAGGACCGCCCTGGGACCCCAGGGCCACATCGGCTCACAGAGCAGCTGGGACTGTCGGGTCTTTATCTCTGGGCCCACAGGTGGGGAATCAAATTCTCCCCCAAGAATCAATGCTTCGTGGCTTTAGGAAACGGCCCTGGCAGAAGCACCGTAGCTGGGCAGGGGGAGACCGGGGCGCTGGTGTGCTCAGGTGCGGCCCTAGGAGGGGCTCTCTGGGGCCTCTTTCATAGGCCACGAAGCCCGCTCCTGGGGGCTGCCCCCCTGAGGCCCCACCTCCACACGCCGTCACCTTGGGGTCAGCATTTCAACCCCCGGTTTTGGGGGTGCTCATACAGACCATAGCAACGGGCTTCTGGGGTTCTCTGGGGCTAAAGCTTTTTGGGAAAGGGCAGTAAAATGGCTTTGCTTCCTGTGGAAAAGGCCATCTTCAGGGTGGCTTGGGTCCGGAAATAACAGGCCTCTGGGGCTGGGGGATGAGAAGTGGTTTTGCTCCTGGCTTGGAGGGGGGGCAGTCCTGGACTCCAGGGATGGACACCCTCTTATGGGTCAGCCTTTGGGGAAGGAGAGAAACGTGTCCCTCCCTCTGCTTGGGCCCACATCTTGGGCGCAACCCGATCCATGTTGCGGGGGCCTTGCTGTCCCTGTGGGAAGCTGACGGGAAGGTGGAGCACAGGCTTCTCGGCCCAGAGCCTGTGGCTGCACCCTGAGGAGAGTCTGCCTGGGACAGGAGGGTGAGCCCTCCCAGGGCCCAGGCCTGGACCAGGGCGTGCGGGAGGGCTGTGTGTTGCTTGGGGACTCCCCCTCCGCTCTTCCTGCCTCTCAAACACCTCCTGGTCCTCCTCTGTGGGGGGCCCCCGAGCTGCAGCTAACTGGTTCAGGGATGGGCGGTATGACCCAGCAAGAAGACAAAGGCACTGATTTCCTGCTGCATTGAAACCAGGGACTTGGCAAGGCGGAAGCCATAGGGCCCTGACGTGGATCAGTAAGGGAGCCAGAAGAGGCAGAGGAGCCAAGCAGGGCAGGAGGAGGAGAGGACCAAGTTCTAAGGACACGGGCATACCCTGGATCCAGCCAGACCTGAAGCCAGTCAGAGCCCTGTACTATCCTCCATGTTAACCAATACATTCCTCTCCTTGCTTACAAGTTTCTTTCCCTAGGGACGGCTTCTGGGCAGGGAGAGCAGCAGAGACCCCTGACTGCTCCCTCCCCAGCCCTGGGGGGGACTGTGAGTGTGTGTGGCCCACCCCATCTAGCTTCACGCTGTAGCAGGGAGGCTGTGATCCCCTGGGGCTTAGGGCCCAGAGAGAGGATTCGGGGAACCGAGGGAGACTTGGAGGGGATGGACGAGGCGGGCTCATCGTCCCTCCACATACGCAGAGTCTGCTCCCAGAAACAACATCATCTTTATGTGAGCCTTTCTTGAAGGCACTAGAATGGACAGATCCCTCTCCCATGAGATAGGAAACAAGAGGCTGGCGTGGTCTTCCAGCCTGGGTGGCTGGGCCCCCACCCACGGTCCCCAGTGAGGCCCGTGTAGCACACGGCCGCCTCGCGGGAGGGGCCCTCTGTGCAGGCATGGCGTCAGTCCACCCCGTCCAGGTCCTGCTGGCCTCTGCTCTCAAGCTGGACAACCTAGAAGGAGAGGTCACGTGAGTGTCCACATGGTCGAAACCCAGTGGTTCTCCCTGAATGAGGTGGCGGTCACAGGACTGGATAAGCAGCCGTGAGCCGTCCCCATGATCCGCAAGGGTGCGGGAAGGACATGGAGCATGTGCTCCGGACGAGTCTGGGGGACGGTCCCTGCGGCACGAGACCACAGTGGACTGTAACTCTGCCCACGTGTGTCTTCTGAGGGGACGACACCGGCACGGCCTCTGAACCCCATTCCTGATTTGGGGGAACCCATCGGGGCCATCCTGGGCACTGCTGGAAGCCAGTGGCGTCCCCGCACTCTGCCCACCAGAGGCCAGTGACACAGACAACCCCCCAGGCGTGATCCCCGGGAACGTCTCCAGACAAGGCCTGCTGTCCCCTGGCGTGACCCCGCCCCTGAGAACTGCGGGCTGGACATGAGTCTGACTTGGGGTGACTCCTCTGCATCCACGTCGTCTACGCAGACGCCTCCCTCAATCACCAGATAGACGGTGCGTCCATTGAGTCCGTTGCGATCGCTGGCGCGTCACGGCCTCGTCTCAGCTCATCGTGGTCAGTGTATTGGGGCTCCCCGCAGGCCAGCCTCCCTCCCATGGGCTACACTACCTGTACCGGGGGTGCGACCCATGCACACCGGACTCCAGCACTGGGCTTGGAAAGGGCAGGCGGGCCTTGCCTTGTAAGCTGGTCTTACTAATCCCTCCTTCGCCTCATAATCACTAACCAGAAGAGGGACGGCGAGACCAGGCAGCTTACAAGACGCGAGCCCGGCCGGATGCCGGAGCTGTCTGGAAGCGACGGCGAGGGCCCCCTGTCCCCATGGCTGCTCCTGTGAGTAACACAGTAGGAACAGCACATGCCCGACGCTCGTCCCTTGGCGGACACGAGGACAGTCACGACACCGCCGCCCACAGAAAGCTTTCCAGCCCTCAGCGGGAGCCAGCCGATGTCTCCGGGACGGACGCCAGAAGTGGGGAAGCACCTGCGTCCAACTCACCGCATCCTCCACGCACCGGAACTGCCAGGGCCAGCCGGCGCGGTACAGGAACGGCCGTAGGTCAAACCTGTTGTCATCGGGGCTGTAGCTCTCCGCGTGGTAGGCGGGCGTCAGCGTGGTCATTTTGTGTCTGTTCGCCGCGTACTTGGAGAAGAAGCGCCTCACCCTGTCAGCCACCTGGTGGGCGAGGACAGACGGGGCCGCGGGGCGTAGGGACCCAAGCCGGGACTCCCGCTCACCTCCCACCGCACACACTAGCGCCCCCGTGTTCCAGCCACCCAGCCACCCCCCGGCAGCCGCAGACGAATGTCCCCGTCCCAGGGTGGCTGGGGGGCTGTCCCAGGTGGCCCCAGGACGCCGCATCAGTGGAGCTGAGCAGGGCACGCGGGAAGACACGCGGCGAGAGGATTCCAAGCGATTCCGTGGGGACCACCATGTGAGCCGGACAGCGGGCCGTGGCCCCACGCAGAGGACCTGACAACTGGGCGCTGCTGTCACGGGCGACAGAGCGCCACCATTTCAGGCCACGCAGGCCGACTGGCTGCCCCCAGCCAGACCATCCCCGCGGGGACCGAGTCTGCGGCTCCCTCCGCGGATCCGTGCGCGCCGTACCTGCCGCGGGGAGCACACGTCCTTCCACATGGTGACGAGTCTGCAGAACATGCTGTAGGGCCCGGCCTTCGCGACCTTCCGGAGCCGGCCGTAGACGGACAGCTCCGCGTACGTCATGCCCATGTCTTCCTGCCGAGGAGGGAGAGGCAGCGGGCTGGTGCTGGAGGCGAGATTGGGGTCCCCGCGGCCGGTGGGCCTGGGGCCGGGGGGGTCCCCACGAGGCCACGAGCAGACGTGAGGTCTCACTCCGCCTCACCGCCCGGTGCCATGGAGCTGGCGTTTGGAGAAAGGACTGGCCTGGTTCTGAGGGCTGGGGGACTGAGGTCTGTCCACGCTTCACGCCCCAGAACCTACAAACTGTGGGTTTATTTGGGAAAATAAAGGTTTTTGTAGATGTAACGGAGTGAAAGAGCTGGAGATGAGCTGGCCCTGGGCGTAGGGAGCCTTTGTACGAGATGGAACGGGACGCACGGGGAGAAGCTGCATGAAGACGGGATGGGGGATGTGGCCGCAGCCCAGGAAGCCCTGGGAGCTGCACGAAGGACCCCCCTTGGAGTGTCCCAGCAGGGAGCAGGGCCTGCAGATGACCTGATTACGGCCTCCAGCACAACGAGAGGGTAGCGGTCAGTCGTTTAAGCTGCTGGCCTGGGGGTTTGGCTCCAGCATCCCCAGGAGGCTGATGCCAGGACCAAGGTCAGGCAGGGCAGCCCGACAGACCAGCCCTGCGCCGTGCCTCAGGGATCCTGCTGTCCCTAAGGATGAACGGCTCAGCACAGACTCCTGGGTCATGCCGGCCATGGGACGCCCCTGGCACGGTGTGAAAGAGCCAGCCTCACACGGAGGCTCACATAAACCCCTCTTGCATTTCCGAGTATTTGCTCTAATCCCCTCTCAACTCCCACTGTGCCCCAGAATATACAACCAGAGCTGACGACAGACCGATGGTGGCACTGGCCTTTCTGGGGAACAGCAGGACAGCCCTCACCTCCATCCAGGGTCTGCAGGACCCCCAGTGACCAGGCCCTCCTTCCTGCTCCCCACCGCCCACCTAGTCTTCCTCAGGCCTCAGCTCCAATGTCACTTCCTTGGGGAGGCCTGTCCTGCCCCCATCAGAGGGACACAGTCACCTTTGGGGCACCCAGGTCCATGTGTGGGCAATACCAGGAGACACCTGGGGCTCTTATGGTTACCTCCCACTCATGTGTCCCGGAGACTCACACAGATGGCAGGACCAGCTAGCTCAATGCCGAGCTCCAGGGCCCAGCGGGTCCCGTCAGGGACCTCCTTCAGCGCCCGCTTCTGTGTGAATGTTTGCCAGCGCGACACTTGAATTCTCTAGATTCAACAGTAGCACTTGGAAGCTTTAACACCCTTTTCAGTGACGCACAGAACTGAACCAGAAAACCAACAAGGGGATGGAGAACTCGAACCCTACAAACCAACGAGCCCTAAGCGACCTCTCTAGAACATTCCGCCCACGACCACAGAGCACACGTTCTCCTCGAGCACACGGGACGTTCTCTAGGACAGACCAGATGCCAGGCCATAAAACCGGCCTCTATGAATTTCAGAACACTGGAAAAGCCTGCTTCCCAACCGTAAAGGAAAAGGGCGACAGACTTGGGGACACACGGAAAGTTCAGAAACCCCCAAATACGCGGGACTCCAACTGCATACTCTTGAGTAGCCAACAGGTGAGAAGAAATCACGAGGGAAGTCAGACCTCGCCCAGAGGTGCACGAAAATGACGACGAGGCATAGCACGGCATCCGGGGTGCCGGGGCACGTCTGTAAGGGGGGATTTATTCAGAGAGAAGCCCTCACTTCGCTCCTCGTGCCCCACGGGGAGAAGCGTGAGCTGACTGTCAAGCACGCGGTGGGAGACGAGAAAGAGATGATGGAAAGGGGCTGCAGGACGTCAGGTGCTTCCCGACACTGGAGACGAGCCAGCGGCTCAGGAAACCCGGAAAACAATTCCGCTCACAGGAGGGCGAAGGAGAAAATGTGCTTAGAAATGAATAACAAAACAAGTGCACGTTCACGCTCTGAAAACTGCAAGACGTTGAGGCCGTAAGAAGCCCAGAGTGAGGAGGGAGACTCGCCACACCAGGCCTCAGAGGCCACGTTCTCCGGGGGCGACACCCGCCAAGCCCAGCTGTGCTCTCAGCACGCCTGCCGTGGAGACCCAAGCTGGCACCGCGTGTGCGGCAGAAGACAAACGGGCGTCCAGGGGGCCAGAGCAGCTGGAATATGTTGAAAGAGAGGGACGAAATGGGAGGACTCCCACTTGCCGACGCCAGAACTTCCTACCAAGCTGCGGTGGCCCAGGGGGTGCGGCCCTGGGGGGACGGACCCGCGTGTTAGCGGAGTCTGGAACTGGATCCACACACAGACCCCTGATTTCCACCTGGATGCCGAGACGCTTGCGGGAGAAAGTCCCAGCAGCAAACGGCGCCGGGTGCCAGACGGTCAAGTGTGATCCCTGCTTCACACCACACACTGAGACAAACCAACCAGGTCATGGACTTCAAAATGCAAGTCACACGACAAACTCTCGGGAGGAGCACAGGTGAGTCTTGGCCGCAGGCGCTGGCAGCAGGACGGTCAGTTGCGACAGACTCTGCGATGGCCCACGGCCACGGAAGTGGCGCCCCACTGCCGATGGCCCCGACTGCCCCTCCTGGCTCGCAGGCCAGCTTCGAATGGAGGGGACAAGAACGGTTCAAGCTCGCACCCCTCCCACCTGCGAGAGACCTTCCCCACTCTCCCCTCCTCCAGGGCATCCGCCTCAAGAAGGCCAGACCGAAAGGTCAAAGCAGCAGTGGGACAGGCACCGAGCCCTGGGCTCCCTGGTTGCTCGGGGCAGTAAGGAGGCCGTGGGGGAGCCCAGCTCGGACTGGAGGATGCAGGGACATGGGGAAAGGGGACAGAGCTGCAAGCACTACCTCGTCCGTCTGGGACACCTGGCCGTCAGTCAAGGGCTCCAGCTCTGCGGTGGCCGGCGCTGCCAGGATGCTGCGGCCAAGACACACAGGTCAGTCGTAACGGCTGCCACAGTGCTTGTGGGCACGGGGAGATGACCCCCACACCAGCTGCCCACGCTCAAGGACCAGCCTCCTGCAACTCCCCTGCCGACCCTGAGCAGGCTGGTTGGGCTGGGCTTTCCTGGGGAGACGGACGTGGATGTCGGGGATTCACACCGGGGGCAGGAGCTGCCAGCAGAGGCTGCCCCACGGGGCTTCTCTGCCCAAGCACCATCCACATTCAGGGCAGGTCATGCATTCCTTGCGGGGCTGTCCTGGGGGCATCTTCCCACTAGGTGCCAGGGGCACACTCGGCCGCCATCACCAACAAGGTCTCCAGACATCGCCCAGTGTCCCCGGGGGCCACCTGGTCACGAGACCCCACATGCCCACTGAAGGGCGGAGCTGTTTCCGTCAGGCAGGAGGGAGCTGCGGCATGGGGTGATGGGGGGGCACGACCATGACACGCAGGAGGCACTCACCCCTGCAGGGCGGGAAGCTGGAAGCGTTCCACGCAGAACTGGACAAAGGCCTTCAGGTCTGTCTTGCTGATGCCACCAATGGGGTTGATGTCTGCACTGGAGCAGTCGTACTTGGTCAGGTAGCCAAGGAGGCTGCAGGAGTGAGCACAGGGTTTCCACGGGGCTGACCTGAGGGGCCACAGATCCTGCCTGGGCTCCGGCCCCTCGTCCACGCTCAGAGCCGTCCGCAAATGGGCAGAGCCAGCAGATGACCGCAGGGCAGTACTCAGCAGCCCCGAGAAGGCGTGGGGGCCTGGAAACGGGCCTGGGAACGCTGAGCCCCGGCTGGGAGCAGCACGTCTGAAGGGCGGGCGGCAGAACGGGAGGGCGTGGGGAGGTGCTGAGGGCTGAGTCCTTAGGAGCCCGTGGGGGCCTGGCCGGGTCTCCACGTGGGCCCGTCAGCAGCCCCCCGTCAGATGTCTCCTGCGGGGCAGGGTAGTCCCGAAACACATCCTCATCCTCTGCCCAGAACCTGTGAACTCGGGACCCCGAGGGCATCAAGGACTCAGCTGAGGACTGCAGGTGAGGTCCTTATCCTGGACTGTCCGGGTGGGGGGGGGCAAGTGCACTCACAAGCATCCTTACAGGTCTAGCTGGGAGGTGGGGGCCAGAGCCGGGAGCCAAGAGGAAGGTGGAGACGCTGCCCTGCCAACACCTTGAGTTTAGCCCGGTGAGATCTGCACTGAACTTGGGCCCCATGGATCGGCGAGAGGGCACTGCGGGCTTGACCCAGGAACTCCTAGTCAGTCGTGACCCACGCCCTCCAGCGGACGCCTCCCTCTGTAGCCACCCCTGGATGGCAGGTCTCCACCCTATCCCCAGCGCCCCCACCGCCCCTACCCCCACCCCACAAAGTGTTTCCTAACCCCGCCACATGCCCCCGAACCCCCTTGCTGGTGCCCTTCCGGGCCTAGCCTCTGCCTGTATCACCCGAGCTCACAGTTCGACTCCAGCACGGACACAGCCGCTGGCTCCGCCTGACCGTCCCGCATCCGGTCTGGCTGCAAACGCAGCTGTCCCACGAGCATGGGGTCCCTCCACCCACATATCTGACCCTCTCCTGCTGCTCAAGAGAAAGACCCAGCTCTCGTTCCTCCGGACTCCTCCCGGAGAGCAGGGCCTCGGGCGTAAGAGCCCCAGGGCACCAAGCAGAGGGGCGGGTAAAACCTGGTGCCTCCTTGAATGGGGCTCCCCCTGACCCCGAGGTGCTCCCTGTCCCGTTGAAGGGGTGGCTGAGTGGGGACAGGGTCTTCCGGCCGAAGAGACAATGGGCTCCATTCCACCACATGCCTCTGCCCACCCGCCCCGAGACGCACTGGGAGAGGACTGTGTTGGGGACAGACCCTGCGGGTGAGACCCCTCAGGGCAAGGCTCTGGCCTGGTCTGGGTCTTAGCACGAAAGCCTGGAGCTAAGTCCCACTGGCACACAGGCTGGACCTCAAGATGGCTTTGCTCGAGGAGGCCCTGTCCTGGACTGACTGTCTGCACTCCCCCCAAAGTCACAGGCTGAAGCCCGCCCCTCAGTGTGACCATCTAGACGTGGGTCCTCGGGAGGTCACGTGGCTAATGGAGGTCACGAGGGCGAGGCCCTGACCCCCCCAGGCCCGCGTCCTCACCAGGAGGAACATCGGGCTTCTCCCAGGCTGCTGCGTGAGGGCACTGGGAGGAGGCGCATCCGCAGGCCGGGGAGGGGCATCGCGGGATGGAGTGGGGGCACGCGGACAGCCGGCTGCTGCCCCGGGGGGCCGGGCTCTCACCCCAGCTCTCTGACCCGCTGTGGCACCCGCAGGCGGGGACAGTCCACTAACAGGCGGGTTCACAAGTTCCAACGACCAACCCCTTGCACGCTCGTGAGCCTAGGTACCGCCCTACGGCCCCTGCCTTCCCGCTCTCCCGGGCCCACGCTCCCCTGCCCCCTAGGCCGCACCTGGTGGGGCCGCATCCACTCCCCTCCGGCTCGGGCTCAAGCCTTCGCCGCCAGCTCCCTGCCCTGGCTTCCCCACACCCGAGCAACAAGCAGAGCAGCCCCTCCACCCGCTCTGGGCGCCCGTCCTCTCGGTTCTGCAGCCCCGGTGGGCTGCTCCCCCTTGTACCAGGAATCTGGGCCCCCCACCCACTCCCTTCTCCATCAACATCCAGCCCCAGGGCCCAGATGCTCCTGTACCTTAAGCAGCATTTTGCCACCTACAGGCTCCAGATTAGGGGTGCGGCTCGCCTCTGGACTCCAGAGTCTCCATCTAACTGCCCACACACACGTCCACGGGGGCGTCTGGAGAAGTGTCCAAGCCGACATTCCCTACACGGGACCCTGACGTCCCCACCCACTTCCTGCGCCAAATGCTGGTCCAGCCTCCAGGGGCTCCGGTCCGTGTGGATGTCCTCCCCACACGTCTGGTCCACCAGCAAATCCTGTCGGCTCCCCTTGGACGCCAAAACACCAGGAGCCAAGCCCGCCTGGCCGCCAGCCCCACCCTGCCAGGCCGCAGGAACCGGACGGAAAGGAGGTGCACCTACAGTGCCTGTGCATCCCCGACCCACTGGCACCTCCAGCAGGGCAGACCGCCCTCCCCGTGAGGCCTCCGGGCTCCCCCAGCCGCTCTTGTGCACTCATCCATCACTTCCACTCTGCCGCTGGCCCACCAGGGCCCTGACCTCCCCTCAGCCTCCTGCGTGGGGGACAGAAACCCCTAGAGACCTCAGTGCCTCCTGTGGGCCATGCTCTGTGCGGAGGAGCGTGCACACTGCGTCCTGCGGGGGAGCCTGCTTGCACCATCAGACCCGGCTGGCAGCCAGGTTTGGGGAGTGTCCCCACCCGTCCCCTAACAAGAAACAGGGTCTCCCTGTTTGGAACTTCTTTGTTCAAACACTGGTGTGTGCTGCCCACTGCTCTCCTTCTGGGAGCGGAAGCTCGGTTTGTGCCAGGGGGAAGGCGCCCGTGGGACCAACCCCGGGCACAAGCCCCGGGCACTGAGCCTCTGACACACCTCCCTGTCGTCACAGGTGTTGCTGGGGAAGGACGCCCGTCAGGGACGCCCCCCTGGGAGACAATCTGGAAGCCTGAGCCTGGTTTTCCCCGCGTGCCTTCTGCTCTGCGTCCTTGGCTGGACTCGACCATAGCCATGAGTAGCACACGAGGCTCCGTCTGTCTCCCAGCGAGCACAGGGCACGGGGCTGGCAGCTCACGGCACCAGGACCCAGAGTCTGCGGGTCACCTGTCCTCTGCCTCGTGCTCACCCCTCATCACCTGTCCTTGCGGCTGCCTGGCTCCCACATCCCTCTCTGCCACCGTCGCCTGGCCCCCGGTTCCACCCGAGGATGCAGCTGGGCACGGCTGGCGGGAAAGCATGACCTCACCTCTGGTGCGGCCTTGGCACCGGGGCTCCCGGCCTGGCTCCCCGCCTGGCTCCCCGACCCATCTCGCTCGCTTGTCACCACTCCCCTCCAACATCCGACGCCTGTCCTGCGCCCTCTCTCGGCTGGTGACCACCTCCTGTCTCGCCAAGGAGGGTCATGGGCCCTGACCGTATGCCGCCCCGACCCACGTCTGTGCTGTCTTCTCTGCAGCCTTCCGTGGACGCACAAGCCGGGCTCCCGTAAAGCCAGCCGCCACTCGGCCACCTGCTCTCGTCTCCTCGTGACACTGAACAGCTGTCCACCCATGTCCCTCTTCCTCATCAGTCACTCTGTTCCCTCCCTGCTAGACCTCTCTCATTGTACCTTAAGGAAACACCCTCCCCGTCTCACTGCTCCTGCCAGCTACCACCCCACACCTCATGTCTCTGGCAGTGTGAAACTTCTAGAAAGAGCTGACCTATGGTCCCCTCACCCGCTACTCTCCGACCTGCCCCAACTGAGCTCCCAATACCTCCCTCAGACAAGACGGGCTGTGCAGAGAAGTGACAATTGCTCTCTGTCCTGGTGGGATCTCACCACAGGACATTTGCAGAGGCCATTCTCCTGACTGCATTTCCCTTCCTCCTTTATAAACCAACTTCTCAGAGAGGCCTGCCCTGGCCACCCTACTTAGAAGCCCAAATTCCCAAACTGCCCCCGTGCCTGCCCTGGTTTTCTCTGTAGACTTTCCACTTCCTATACACATGATTAGTTTTCCTATTACCTGCCTCCTTCCGCTAGAGTAAAATGGGAATTACTTTTCTGTTTTGTTCATGGCACCAAGAAGACACCTGACATGTGACCCACGTTTTATCAGTTCCTCGAAGAGTAAGCAAATCAGAACGTAATGGAACTGAGGTTAGGATGAAAAGTCACATTTAACGGAGAACCAACACGGCAGAGACTGTAGACCGGAGATCCCCCCCCCAGGATGTGAGCAACGGGGAGATCGTAGATGGGGACACAGTGAGGGATAGTTGTCCAGCAGGGACAGGAAGCAAACAACAGAGGAAGGAGAACTGAAACGTGTCTGTGGCTGTAGACAGATTTCTGTGATCCGTAAGATCACAGCAAAAAGTGATGAAAAAGATAAATATGTAAATAGGCACCACGGAGAACCTTTAAGGCCCCAGAAGCCCATCCCCACCCCCCCCGCCACCAGAAAGAAATCACTGTTGTTGTTTGCTTTGATGTTAAATCCCAGGAGACAACGGTAAGCGTTGTGATAGGGAATGTGCAATAAACTCGTTCCAGCAGCGGCACCGTATCACCGATGACAAGTCAAACCCACGCGCAAAGGCCAACAGAGCCAAACACGCCACCATTCCCCGCTCTGCGGGGTTCAGGACACGCAGCAGCTGTCCACCCCTCCTGAAACATCACTTCCTGACAGAAGCACTGATGGTAACAGAAAAGCAATGAAAATTGACAGAATGTGCATGAGAACGGTGAGAATCCTTTTTACCAGTAGAGGGTGCTAACCTCAATTTGTCGTAATTAGGAACCAGGATCCCAAAGTCCAAAGTAGCGTTTAACAGAGAACACGTCTGCGGCCATTCAAGGACGTAGGAAGATTTAAGACCTTCACACCACAGATAGGAAGACGGATGGATGAACAGGTGAGTGGACAGACTGATGGACAGATGGGCGGGCGGATGGGCGGACGGGCGGGCGGGCGGATGGGCGGGCGGATGGACAGGTGGACTGATACAGAGAGGAACAGACAAATAAATGACAGAGGAAGCTCCTGACGTCCTCTGCTAACAAGGAGCACGGAGAACACCTGAGCGAGGCCCCGCCTAAGACAAACGGGAGACGAGGCTGGAGCAGTGCTCCCGGCCTCCGCCGCGCACGGAGGTTCAGCTGAGATTTATCTGAAGAACGACAGGCTCTGGGTGTTTCTGAGCAGCAACAATATGAGCAAGTATGTCAAGTCCCCGTCAGAGACGAGCTCTCCGCTTGGGAGTGAGAACTGGACCCAGAGCAAGGACCTAGAACGTGCTGGAACTGCCCAGGAAAAGAGACGGGTGAGACCCAGCAAGGTGGGGTGGGGAGACAGATTCCAGACCCAGAGCGAAGGGACCCAAGCCGGGTGCAGGGCTGGGCCGGTGAGCAGGGAGCCAGAGGGATACGGTGTGGACCTGTCTCCACACCCGAGTCACTGGGAAGCTCTGGAGCAATGACATCCCGAGGGCACCAGACGTGGCCTGTGCCGTGGGGTGATGTGACCCCACACCATGCGTCTCACAGACTCAGTGAGAACGGGCAGGGGCCTGGAAACACCATCTTGGGGAGCGCGTACCCTCGGAAATCTGGGGCACTCGGGAGTCGGGCACACGCACCTCTCGTCCACGTTGGCCGATCCGAGCACCAGCAGTCCTCCGCGAGCGCCCCGGGCCCAGAGGCTCAGCTGAGCAAACAGATACGCCACGACCATCCTTAGCCGAGCCTGGGGGACACGACGGGCAATGTCACCCTGTGCTGGACATGGCGGGGGCAGACTGGCTCCCCCCGCCCCCGTACAGCTCCAGGGAAAGGGGCTCCAAGTAGCGTAGAAGCTTTCTAGCGTGCAGAGGCAGCAGAGTCCTCCGGGCCTGACCGCCACCACATCACTCACACAGGCGCGACGGGTGAGATGGACGGAGCCGGAGACCGAGCCGGGGGGCCGAGAGCGCTCGGGGCGGAATGGGCCCCTGTCGCACCCCCTTTACAGCCGGCATTTCAGGCGGAGGGAAGGCCGCTGTGGCCAGAAGGAAGGGACAGAGATGGGATACAGCGCAGCAGCTAGAGCCCAGGGACTCCACCAACCGGCCGGCTGGGCCCCCCCGAAGCAGCCCGGGAGGGGACACGGGGAGCCACTCCCTGGAGACGCAGGAAACTCACACACGCGCGCGTCCCGTCTCACCAACTTGCACACACATGCTTGTGCACTTGCACACACGCACATCCATGCGTCCACCCAGGCGGCCCTCACAGACAACCCCGCAGCTCCTGCTCTCGCACACGCACACACGAGGGCAGGCGCACCCTCCGCCTGGGGCACGAGGTCCCCATGCTCCCTGCGGCTCCCGTATGGGGATGAGCCCCCGGCCGGAAGGCTCACCTGCACGTTCTGCAGGGCCAGGTTCTCCCTGCTGCTCCCACCGTGAGCCGCGAACAGAGGCCTTCGACCCGTCACCAGGCTAAAGATGCCCACGACGGCTGTCACCGCGGGCTCGATGTTGAGACCAATGTGGTGGCTGCCAGGGAAAGGGCAGGTGTGCGTGGGGTGTGTGTGCGCACGCGTAACACACGCAACCCCGGGTTCACCGTCTGACCACGTGAAAGTGTGCGCTCCGCGGGCGAGCTCTGGGGGCTGCATCCAGTTCCAGAATGCACCGGCGCCCGGGACGCGAGGACGACGGGAAGGAGGGGTGTGATCAGACACAGCCAGGGTCTGGGGGATCTGGAATAGTCTCCCTAAGCCCTGGCTCATGGGAGGCTCTAGGAACCTGTTCAAAGCCAGACACGTGTCTAGCCAGGAGCGTGGGCTTGGGCGAGGCTTCCAGTGGCACCGGTACCGCCCCAGAGCCCCCACCCACGCCCGCCGCCTCCTGTACCTGCCGATCTGCTGGGCCAGCTCCCTGGCTCTGCCACATGTCTCCTGCGACGAGTTCTCGCTGGCCATGTAGCAGGTGGTCAGCACGCGCCCGCAGAGGTCCCGGGGGTCCTGGGGCGTGTAGCTGAGCTCGTCCACGATGGTCCGGACGTCAGCCAGCACTTCCTGGTCTGAAAACGACAAGATGATGGGAACCGGGTGGCGGCTCCCCGCTGCCCAGTGCTCAGAGCCCAGGCCCTCCCTTCGCCCGGGCAACGTCTCCCCATGTGGAGTGTTTCCGGCGTGCACGTTAAGGGGATAGTCGACGCAGCGTGCGCGGGGGAGGATCTTGACCCGGGTCTGCCTGAGCCCAAGGCCCAGGCCACACGGCCAGTGCCCAACAGCAACAGCGGCCTTGATGGCCACGGCCACGCGGGCCCGAGCCCCAGGGAGGGGCTCTCACGGCCGGCTGTCCCCACCTGAGCGCGTCTGCAGAGCCCCCTTCACCCGCGATGGCGGGGACCCGAGGTCCCCCTCAGCCCGGTCCCTACCCCGGAGCCTCGCTCGGCCATCGGATGCTACCTACTTCCCTGCTTCACGGCCTCGCAGACCTCGCGGCACATGGAGTAGACGAGGCAGGCGGTGGCCGCGCTGTCCACCCCACCACTCAGGGGCAAGAAGAACCCGGCCTGGAATGGGCCAAGCACAGGCAGGGGTGAGCAGAGCCTTGGCGGAGCAGCGCACCCCGAATTTAGCCTCGTTCCGCCCACAGATGCGGGGGCAGAAAGACACACGTCTCCGACGGATCGTCTAGAGGGAAGGGACCTCTCAGTGCGACGGGCACGTAGGACGCGTCCTCCACGGGCAGACGGCAGACGCACGGAACCACTGGGACATGCTGTCCCGTCGCGCTCAGGGTCACCAGACAGGACCCCAAAGACGGAACCAAACCTCCAGAGGCCCTTCGTCCTTTGCCTTGTGCAGACTAAGCAGCCGACGGATGCAGCGGGACGGACAGACTCCCAGCCTGCCAGACTCAGACACGAACACGGGGAAGCTTACCTGCCGGCTGCGTCTCAGAAAGTCCCAGAGCCAGCACGCGGGTCCGAGGCTGCGGAGCAAGGGGGCGCATGAGGCCGGGAGCCGCTGACCCCGTCGGCAGTTCACCTGGGCCATGTGCCACGGTAGGAGCAGCGCCGGGAGAACGGCCGGGGGAGGGGCCCCCGATTCACCAAGTCTCTGTGATAAGCACTTCATGGGAATTAACACATTGTTGTCTCCAAACCGCCCCGGGAAGTAGGTGATTATCTTTTGGCCCCGTTTTCAAACAGAAAAACTGAGACACAAAAAGGAAAGCCAGGCAGGGCGTCCGTGCCCAAGGCCCCGGCACAAGGAAGCAGCCCGGCTGGGCGAGGAAGCCAGGCCATCTGGCTGTGCCCCCCACGCCCTCCACCCCGCCGCCGCCCGGCCTCCCCGCAGAGCGGTCACCCTGGGCACGGTCTTGGAACCAGCTGCCCACACGGCTCTGGCCCCCACACCCCCGCAGGGTGCAAACCACTACAGCGGGCGAAGGGGGCACCCTGGGACCAGCACCCCGCCCTGAGCTCACACAGGCGTCCCACCTGATCTCCTCCTCGGGACTATGGTACGTCCACTCGATGGGCTCCGACGGTGGCTCCAGCAGGTCCTCACGGCACGAGAGGGCGAAGTCCACCTTCACACGGGGGTAGGGGCTCACCTTGCTGGCCTGCGGAGGGACAGTCACGACAACATGACACCGGTGCGGCAGCAGGCCCGCAGGAGTGCGTGTCAGACCTCGGCCGAGCCTTCGCTCCCCGCGGGACGGCTGGAGTTGGAAGCTGTCGGGACCGACTGGCGTTGGGACCCTCGTGCGTCGGGGGGCCACTGCTGTGGACAGTCTGGAAATCCCTCAAAGACGAAGGCACGGAGTGACCGCGCGGCCCAGCAGCTCCCCGCCTGGGCGCAGGCCCAAGAGAAGCCGCTCGCACAGAAACCCAAACACGTTTGCGGAGTGTCCGTTCATCAGACAGAAGGACACATGGGCCGCGTGCCCTCCGCAGGGGCCGGTCATCACCACAGACACATCCTCTAGACGTGCTGCTCCGTGACACAAGCCAGACACGATCCCACCCCTGCGCCCCGCCCACCACGGGCAAACCCAGAGCCCGAAAGCAGGCTGGTGGCTGTGCGGGGCGGAGGGGGCCCAGAGGGAGCCTCGCGGCTCCAGGTTTGTTCGTGCTGCTGTGCCGAGCCGAGGGCTGTGCCTCCCCGTGAACGTGCCAGAAGCCTTCGCAGCACGGTGTGGCGCGGCCACGGCAGCTCGGTCCCGTGCTCAGGAAGAGTCCCTGGGGCGCCGCGGAGCACCCGTGGGCCTCCGTGGACTCACCGCCAGGTTTCGAGATGAAATCTCCGCCCTGTAGCTTCGAACGTCCTCCAAGTCCAACGTGGCGGCGAGGACCTCCTGGAGAAGGGGTCAAAGAGAAGGCGTGATTCCCGCTCCCCCCACTCCCGCAGCACACTTGGCCGTGCTCACAGGTGGGCCACATCACACACGAGAGTCACACCTTCCAAGGCAGGGACGTTCCCGGGGGCCCAGGGAGAGGGGACAGCCGGTGCTGCGGTTGACCCGACACCCTCCCCTCTCCCTGTTGCCCCCACAGCCTCCAGTGAACTCAGACACGTGGCGGTGCTGCCTCAGTCACGGCACAGGGCCACGTCTGCCACGTCTGCCACAGACTTCTGAGATGCTCAGGAGCAAGGGTTCCTTCCCTGCTTCCCACGGGCTGCGCGGAGAGGAGACGGCTGGAGCTGTTGCCGCCGCCCCCCACCCAGGAGGAGAGGCGACCCCAGATCCAAGCCCACACAGAGGAAGCCAGGCTGGAGGACGGCAGGGAGCTGGACCACAGCCCCGGCGAGCCACACGCGGGGCCGGGAGGTGCTGCCTGTGTGATCGTGGGGACGTGTCCCTGCCCTCATACCCAAATGAGACAGGAGTGTTAAGAATACAAAAATACCACAAAAGAGAAAAAAAATAACATTTCAAAAAACAGCAAAAAAAAAAAAAAGGTTGATTCATTTATGTCTTTCTTTGTGAAAAACACCTCCTTGTCAAAGTGCGTCACTAGAACATTGTCACTACAGGCAAGTTGGGGCAGCGAGAGCCAGTCCTGCGCGCCGCACGACACGGGGGCTGTGGCCCCCCACACTCGTGTGAACGGGCCTGTGGGCAGCTGCTGTCGTCAACACCAGGCCTGACCCCAGCTGGACACACCCACAAAGAGAAAGAGAAAATGGAACGCATGTGTCCTTTGGTCTCCCTGTCATTTCCCAAAGTGATGGGCCACCAAAGCCACAGGGCTCTCCACAGGACAAAGCCAAGGGACGTGTGAGGCCACAGAAAACAAAGAGAGGCCAGACGATGTGAACCTTTTCGTGACAGGACACCTCCACTCCACCTTCCCCAGGACGGGTCAGCGTCCACTGAAACACCTGAGGGAGGCTGCCAAGGAGCCAGCCGGCCTGCGAGGTTTGGAAGAGCCCGAGAAGCGCGTCCTGGGGAGGGGGCAGCAGCTCTGCCGCTCTGTGCGATGGCCCTGCGTGCCACACAATTTCTTCTGATCATTTTAGGTGGATCACGGAGGAAGTGGCAGGACGGCACGGCCATTGGCCCAAGGACTGCGATGGCCTCTCTCCCTGCACGCTTGGACAGAATCAGAGAATTCCGGCCCGAGAGCCCCCTTGGGGAGACAGGAGGCAACGGCCCTCGGGTTCTTGTGCACTTACAAATCAGCTGGGCGTGTGCTTAAAACACAGGGTCCCCAGGGTCCAACCGTGAGGCCTGGCTGAGGCCCAGAGCCTGCAGGGGCCCGCGCACCTGGTGTTCCTGGTGCAGGTGACCCCCCGTGCGCTGCCAGTCAGTCCCGGGTCAGGTGCCTGCGGCTCTGATGTGCGGCCCGGCGTCTTGGCCGCGTCGACCTGGCCTGAAGACAGCTGGGCATTCCAGCGGGACAGAAGACGACACACTGCCTTCTTCAAGCACTTGACCTTTCTGTCAAACCCTCCCGTCTCCATTGTGACCAATGCAGACACCTGCAGGCCTCTGGGGACAGTGTCACACAGCAAGCGCTGCCCGAGGGTCAGCTGGGAGGCAGGGAGCGCCCCTGCAGCCGAGCTCCTGCCCTGCACCGGCCAGGAGGCATCGTGGAACTTGCTAGCTCCGCTCCGAAACCCAGAGCAGTTTTATAACCACTGCCCTGCCCACAACCCCAGCAAGGCCGCGGAGGTACCAGACGCCACCTCCCCGATGTGAGTTCTGGCAGGACTGCGGGGAGTTTCCACGTGAGTAAGCTCGCGCGGCCACCCCTCCCTCTGAATCAGCGTCTCCCCCGTCCCCACAGGCAGGTGGCTTCCGAGTGAAGATGGCAGATGTCGCGGGGCTGACTTTCCGGGCCTGCGGCGGGACCCACACTTGTGTCCGTTCCTGGCAATAATAGCCATTTCCTTTTGTTTTGAATTTAAAAGCAAAAAACCAAAAACAAAAGCAAAAGCAAACAGTTCTCCACAAGGACTTTCTCTCAGCCGCCTCCACTGAGAAGGACATTCACGTCCAACGTGGCCAGATGGGCTAGTGGGACAGACGGCGCCCAGACCCACATCCTCTGGAGGAGGGCGAGTGTCCACCAGCTCCGTACAGGCCCCCTTGGCTCAACCCCCTGGTCCCTGACCCAACCCGGACTGTGGTGACACCCCTCTGAGCGCACCCACAGCTCCCGTGCAGACACGCCTGCCCACGGCCGGCTGGCTGTGTCCAGTGAGCCACACAGCCCCACGGCGACAAGCCCCCCCGGAGGAGCATCCGGGCTCCCAGGACGTGGGGGCAGGGGGACGTGGGGGCCCGGTGGCATCAGGCCTACAGCTAGCACAGACACACGCGTGCCTGGTCACGTGGGGAACAGTGAGCGGGTCTCGAGCTCCCTGCCGAGCTCCCCTGTGCTCCGCGCCTGCAGACGTGGGTCCCCTGCCAACGACCCCCCTCGCTGTGGGGACCAGGACTGATGCCTGCTTATTCCCGAGGAAGCTCTAGTTCCACATCCTCCCTGGGGCCCCAGGGTCCCCACTCTGCTGTCAGCACAGACACCCCCTGCCCCAGTGCGGTCACCCCCAGGGGCGCACACGCGCTTGCTTACCACGTCGTCCAGGGAGAACTGGGACCCCTGTGCGAAAATGCAGCCGTTCATGGCGATCAGGGCGCAGCCGTCGTAGTAGAGCCGGTCCCCGTCACAGCCCTTCTGGTTGGCCAGCAAGTAGATCCCACCATTCTGGAGAACATGCGCGGCAACGGGACCTCACCTCTCTGTCCTCAGCCCTCCCGCCACACCAGAGAGAGCACCCCTGCATGGAAACCACACGCACGCCGCGGGCCCTTCCGATGCCCGTCACCACCCCCAGCCCCCAGCCCCCCAGTGCCCTCACATGACCAGAGGAGGTGGGAGTCCAGGGAAGACAAACTCCACACGGCAAAGCAGAGACCCCACGCTGGCTTCGCTGACCCCAAGCCTATCCCGTGACTGTGCCGTGCTGCCCAGTGAGAGAGGCCACCTCGAGGGCACTCCCCGTGCTCTGGCTCAGCGCCAACGAGCCCGCGGCACTCCTGCAGCCAGCGTCGCGACCCTGGGGACAGGTCCGGATGCTGGGGAGTGAGCCTGCGGCTGCTGGACACCATAAGCCAGGTGTCCTGCTCCAGGGAGCAGGGATGGCAGTGCCTGCCTCCCCGGTTGCCGGGGTTTAATGAGGTCAGGCGGGTGGGGCCCCAGGAGAGGAGTCCGTGCACAGTTGCTAAACCCTGGCCATAGCCACGGGCACCGGCACCTGCCATGCAGGCCTTGTCCACCTGGGCTCCGGGGGCTCAGGCGTGGGGGACGCAGCACCGGCCCACAGTGCGCACACCCCGGCATCGCGGCCTAGTGCCTACCTTGGCGGTGGCCATGGTCACCAGATCAACCCTGGTGTGGGCTTTGCGCAGCACATGGTGGCTGCCCGAGGCATTGGTGAAGATCTCCACGCCGTCCAGGCCCATGTCCACGTGTGGGCTGCGGGCAGAGGCGGTTGACAGGAAGAGACAGGCTGCGCGCCCGCCCCGCCCTCCCCAGCCCCAAGGTCTCCAGGCCACTCCACCAGGGCTTCCACGCACGGGGCCGGTCCTGACCTGTGGGGCGTCCAGAGCTCCTCACAGATCTCGCTCCCGATGCAGGTGTCCCGGGTGGCCAGCACTGCGTCTCCAAAGGGCACGGTCTCCTGCAGCCGGAGGACAAGGTCCATGAGACTCCTTGGCCGTGGCCCATCCAGGCTGTGTCCTGACCTCACCACCCTTTTCCTCCCCATCCCAGTGTGGAGCAGTCCCAGCCCACGCGGCCTGGCACCAGCGGGCATCTCACTAGCTGTGGGCTGTGCTCTATGTGGCCGCGGGGCTCACGGTGTCACTCTGCACTTGAAGCTTCCGTTGGCACAAATCCCCACAGTCATACACGTTATTAAGAATAAAGTGTCTCATTTAGCAAAGGCCACTCTACGCCAGCCGTGGCACCGTGCACCTTTTGCATCACCCATGCTTTCGCCGGTCTGACCCGGTGGTCCCACCCCTGTGCCCAGAAGGACCCGAGGCTCATTCAGGAAACCTGAGAAAGATTGCCCAGAGCCCAAGGGGCAGGGCCGGAGGGCCAGCGTGTCCGTCACCAAGAGCCACATTCACCAACCATGCGTGGCAGGAGCTCCCCAGGAAGGCGCAGAGCCTCCCCTGGGCTACCAGACAGGGGCGTGGAGGCCCTGAGCCCCCCACATGCTGACAGGTCATGCCGACACCACTGCTACATGCCGGCATGGGTCCAACTTGGCTACCACCTGTAATCCCAAAGTTACGGAAAAGGTGTGACTTTGTTCAGCCAAGAAATGATCCTGAGGCCTGGAGCACATCATAGAACCCCTGGCCAGGCTCCCTGATGTGTGTGTGTGTGTGTGTGTGTGTGTGTGTGTGAGACACCCATAATGCCCACGGCAAGAGCCACAGTGTAAACGTGGCCCTTTCTTCTCTGATGCCTCCTGCCACGGACGGACAAGGTCACTGTTCACTGTGGCTGTGAGGACAGCCTCACCCAGGACCCCCGCTGGTTGCCGTGGGACCACTGCGCCCCTGCACGACGGCCACGTGGCCAACGTGAGCACGTGGGCATGGCTGGAATCCACACGCCATCATGAGAAGGCCAGGGTCAGAGCGACAGGCTGGTGAACCACGTATCCAAAGCTGGGCTCACGCACTGCCCCTCCTCTGGGGCCTGAACTGTCCGCGCACAGCAGGGTGGGCAGTCCTCACCCTCTTCCTGGACACGTCCCTCAACCTTCACCCACAGTTACTCAAGCCAATTCAGGGAACCACCTTCAAGCAGTGACCCCGCAAAATCCTTCCAACAGCAAATTCTGTTCCATGTCAGCCCCGTGTGTCTCCCCTGAGATGGATTTTAGGATATACCATGATCCCATAAGAATGAAATGGGGAGCATCCCACTCTCCGGACTGCAGTAGACACGTCTGTTTCAGACACAGACACACGGAACATACAAACACCCACGGAGTCTGTTCTGGGTCAAGAAGACTTTAGAATGTGCTCACTGCCGCAGTTCAGGGTCAAAGGAGTGTCCGGGTCACTTGGGAGGTGACCAGACCTGCCGTCACCTCAGCCATGCCCGTCCCTGACTGTCCGTGCAGAAGGCACTGAGCCCAAGCTGGCCCCTCGAAGGGCCTCGCTCACAAATCAAAGCCCGTGCCAGAGGCGTAGTCTGGCTCCCAGGTGGAGGTAACCTCCATCCGGAGGCCAGGGCGGCCACTGTCCTCCAGGGACAAGGCAGAGGAAGCCGTTGATGGCAAAGAGGCCAACGGAGGCGGAATCTCGTGGGAATCAGGGGAGAGGGACCCCGCTGTGGCTCAAGCCCGTCCCTGAGACCCCGATGAATCCCGGCCAAGCCGTCCGCTGGAGGGAGTCTGTAAATGGCCGTGAGCCACCTGGAGTGTAGTCATCGGGGGACACAGAACTCAGTGTCACGAGCTGAACTGTGCCTGTTGGAGTGCTGCCCACCCCGCGCTTCAGAACCTGACCGTATCTGGAGCAGGGGCCTTAGAGGACGTGGTTAAGGTAACATGAGGTCACCGGGGTGGCCCTGATCCAGGGTGACCATGGTCCTCACAGGAAGAAGGAATCAGGACACAGACACGCACGAGGGACGACGCCGTGAGGACCCAGGGAGAACACGGCCGTCCACACACAAGGAGAGAGGCCTCGGGAGGACCCGCCCTGCCCGCCCCTGCCTCCTGGGCATCAGCCTCCAGGGCCGAGAGGCAAGCATCTGTCATTCAGCACCGTCCCCTCCATCTGTGGTGCTGTCTTACGGCAGCCGGAGCCAAGTGACACCCCGGCAAGCAGAACGGGACCGCAGGCAGATCCCTGAGAAGGCAGGGCCCCGCCGCAGCACCCTCTGTGTCCCAACTTCCGACCACCTGTGGGAAGTGGACAGAGCAGGGCTCCAGCCATCACCCCAGCGGCTTCCCATAGGAAGAGTGTGGACGCAGCCCCCGAGTCAGACCAGACGATCCCAGCTCGGAAGGCCAGGCCGGCCAGGTCCTAAAGACACGACAGAAGCTGGACGCTGGGTCGTCACACACTGAACGGGCAGCCTCGTAAAGTCTTCCTTGAGTTTTGCAACTAGAACCCTCCTTCCCCAACCCCAAAGCTGGCTGCTTGGGTGGTCCCTTGGCCCAGGCAGCAGCCCCAGCAAGAAGGAGCTCACTGAGGTGGGGTGGGGACCCCTCCCCCAGCTCCCCTGGCACCCCGGCTCCCCTGGCACCCCGGCAGGTGAGCCGGAGGAGGGGGAGGCACAACGGGCAGAGCATCCCTGACGTAAGAGAAAGGAGGCGCCCAGCATCCCCGGGGCTCCAGCCTCCCTGCTCGTACAGGAATCTCTCCCCGTGTTTGGTGTTGTTTCTCCACCCGTCAGGGTGGGTTAGGGTCCTGCCCCACGCGGTGCGCGTTAGCCCAGAACAGGGACACCTGGCTGGAAAATGAGATCCAGTCACACTCACCTGCTTCGTCACATCCTGTATCATCCGGGGCAGAAAATACTCCTCTGTCTGCCTGGGGAGGGAAGCACCACACACCTGAGGACGAGCACCTCAGAAAGCAAGACGACGGCGTCCCAGCGTGAGCAAAGACCCGCCCTGAGCTTCGAACCCATGGCTCGGCGGAGGGCTGTCAGCTGCGCACGCGCCTTAACCCTCCCCGTCGGGGGAAGAGAAGCACATAGGGTGAGCAGAGGAAACTCTGGTGTGTTCTCGCGGACACCACGGTGCCCGGGGGCTCCGACCGACTTGGCTTCCCCGCGCCTCGCGGTCCAGCGCTCCTGAGACACATGTCACAGCCGTTCTCTGCAGAGCCGTCCCGCTCCCCCCAGGAGAAATCCAGCCGGACGTCCCGACCGGTCTCTGAGCCCAGAACAGCACAGCACATCCGCCAACACGACTGCGAACCCTGTCATCTCCGAGAAGACCAAACGGTCTCCCAGCGGGATGAGACGGACAGTCTAACACAGAACTTGGGTGACAGGCCTCCCCAAGGGCTACGCGGAGAGCCTGAATGTAAAAAATAGTTCACAGATCCAACCCCACATGGGCTGTTACAAGACGCACCACAAAGACACGGAGTTACGTATATTTCTTTTTTCTGAGAATTCACAAGAACCTTCTGGGATGGCGGCAGCAGCTTTTACTTAAGTAAATCATAATGCTGGGAAATCGGAGGGTGCTGCCTTCTGTCCTGCGCTAAGGACGGGGACGGGGACACGCGACCCTGCTGACCTCCGAGACACCCTGCCGTCCCACAGCGAGCCCTCTATCCACCATGGGCAACTCTGCTGATGGCGATGTCACTGCGTCAAAACGCTCATTAAAGGGAAGAGTCCCCCACCCCAAGGTTTGTCCCTTCCCCTCCTTCCCTGCCACCCCCACCAGGACCCACTGGGGACGAGACCAAAGCAAACCACCGGGAGACGGTATGCGGTCACCGCCGCGCTCAGTCTCTGCTCCAAGGCCAGCGATCACTGATCACCAGCGATCAGTGAAACTCGCCGGGCTTCATCCAGAGCAGACATCATGAGTGCAGGCCCTGCACCGTAGCCTGTCATCCGGAGCTTGGCTCAGGCTGGCCTGACCTTCTCCCACGGACCCCATACCTGACTCCTGTGCACAGCCTATGCCCTTCTCTGGCTGGATACCCTTTCCGCCCAGCCAACACCCTCTGGAAAAACCTAGCTGCGGACTCCTGCCAAGACCCGTTTGGCCTGGCCACCATAAGCCTTCTCTGCCCCGAGCAGCTACAGAGCCCCGGGGACGCCTGCCTCACCGCGCTTAAATCTGGGGGCACAACCGAGAACATGACGACAATGAGTAGATTCTCAAATTCTCTGCAGTCAAGAACTGGATTGTTTTTTCTCGTTTCCTCAGGCCTGAAGCTGTCATGCGGTCGTCACTATGGTAGGGACACAGGGACGTGCCCAATCATCGAGACCATTTTGGCGCCTGTGGGTAAAAACCTCTGTCGTTTCAATGGTGCCAAAGAGAGTGGCGGATCGAGCTCGGTGTCTGCTGCGGCCCCGCCACGGGCCTCGTCACGCGAGCGCCCGTCTGAAGGAGCCACGGCGAGACCCACATGTCCACATGACAGGGACGTGCGACACCAGGCTCCCAGGAAACCCAGAGACAGCACGCCCCGGGAACAGATCCCAGAGAAGAGAGGATCAGACGGTGGAAGACAGGAGAGCCTGTGCGCGAGGAAAAGGGTCTGAAACACCAGGACCTGCACAGGTCTGAGGAACAGAGCCTCCGGCCGGGCGCAGCACAGAGGACGGGGTTAGAGGAATGAGGCCCCAAGAGAAAATACGGGTGCGTGGGCGGAAAGAGGACCAAAGACCCTGACTCGTGGCGCCCGACGGCAAAGGCAGCAGAAGGAAAGCATCCGAGAGCAGGAGATAGAAAATGTTCCCCAGGTCACAGCCCCGACAGCAGGGGGCCGGGGGGGGCGCAGCGGGTGAAGCGTCTGCTTCGGCTCAGGTCGTGGTCTCAGGGACCCGGGATCGGGTCCTGCATCGGGCTCCCTGCTCAGCGGGGAGCCTGCTTGTCCCCTGCCCATCCCCAGCTCGTGCTCTGCCACTCTCTCAAATGAACAAATAAATCTTTAAAAAAACTGAAGTCCCGACGGTCGTGTCAACACTGCTGGGTGCACACGGGGACGGCAGGAGGAGCCCGGCAGCTGGAAGCTGTGCCCGTGAGGCACGGCCCTGCCGACAGCTGTGCGCCCTGACGGCCACCGGCCGGTGCACCTGCCCCAGCTTCCACGTGCCTCACACGGTCCCCGATGTCCCCAGCCTGCGGCTCCCTGTGGGCGTCCTGCCTCATCCCCGCGAGGTGCCCACAGGTTCACAGCACGGGGGCGGGGGGCGCTGCCCGCCCACAAGGCCATGCCCAACTGTCCTGCAAAGTCGCCCTTGGTCTGGCGCCCTCGCCGGGACCTGGTGCGTCCCGACGGTGCCACCGGCTCACACGGGCCGCCGTTCTCGCACTCTCCAGCGTCGGCTCGCCCGTCCGTCGCTTCTGTCAAATTCTGCCCTTGTTCTCTGTACCTTTATTTGCCCGTTTGAGTTTCTGGGACTGGGAACGTTTTCTGGTTGTTATTGATTCGGGAGTCCCGCATCCACCCTGAGCAGCAGCCTTCAGGCATTCAGCAAACACTGCTGCGTCCCCACTGCCCGCCGGCGCCCTTCTCAGAGCTAAGGAGACCACGAGGACAGGGACAGGCCACACTGGCGCCGGCCACACGCTGCGCTCAGCGCCTCACATGCTGACTTGCATCAGCCCCGCAACCACACCTACGGGGTCACCGCCATGACGGGCCCCAAGGTGCACAGAGGTCGGGTCGCTTTCCTGGCCCCGAGGGGCCCGGCCAGGTGGCAGAGGCAGGGTTCGACCTCCCACCGCCAGAGACGCCTGCTCTGTAAGAGCCGCAGACAAGCCCTCCGTGCGGCTGGTGCTTCACCTAAGCAAGCACGAGAAAACGGGAAAGCGCTCTCAGAAGATGGCCACGTGCGGGTTCCAGCAGAGATGGAGGGTCGGAGGATGGAATCTTCTGGAATGTGGGAAGTCAGAGCTAAGACCACCAGAGAAGATGGCCCAGGAAATCGGATCCCCAATCAAGAGACGTTCCAGAAACAGAACCCAGAACGGAAACTCGCCCAGAAAGGACGACCTTTCCCGAAGCCAAGGGTCACAGGGCCACAGAGGGCCTCACACAAGGGCCCAAAGACCCACACCAAGGCCCGTAGAACAAAACGTTAAGAGACCAACGATAACGAGAAGCTTCTCCACCAGCCCTGGAGAGAAGAAAACACGGAGTAGTGACAGGCTTCTCCCCAGCGAGGGCACAAGCCAAAGACGATCCTTCAAGGGACACATTGAAAACTATGCAAAAAAGTTCTGTTTAACCTACGGTTTTTTAAAAGTCTGCGAAACTACTCATCACACATAAGTGCCCCATAAAGACATCTGCAGGCAGGCAAGGTATCAGAAACCCCCCTCAGTGATCCGTGCTTAGAAAGTTGGAATTTACCATAAGAAGTGGACTTGGTCTTCCCAGCACTGAGCTGGCCCTAAAGGTGTTTTTATGTTAATGGTGTCAGTGGGAAAGGCCCGCTGGTTGCCGGGGGCCGACCCAGGAGTTGGAGCTTTCGGACCCACCTCCAGGACTGGGGAGGGACCACTGGCTGGGGTGGAGTTCAGTGGCCAAAGGCCAATGATTGCATCAGTCATGCTTGTCGCGAAGCCTCCAGAACACCACGGAGAACAAGGAGGTTCGGGGAGCTCTCGGGTTGGCGACCGCGTGGAGATCTGGGGAGAGCGGTGCACCCCCAGACCCAGCCCCGTGCATCTCTCCCACCTGGCTGTCCTGATCACATCCTCTTAGAGCAAACCGTGGTCTAGAAGTCAACCTCAGGAGGGGTGGTGGGAACCTCTGGAACCTACTAGAAGCCATGTGCCTGCAAATGAGCAACTCTTCAGAGACAGTGAGGCGTGGGTCAGCCCAGGGCAGGGAGGAGAAGTCCCCCAGAGCTGTGCAAGGGGCTGTATGCCCAAAATACACAAAACCCCAAAGTCTTCCTACATAAGACTATGGAGCATTCGAAGATACGTCACTGGAAGCCTGACCTGCAGCAGCAGCGGCGCCCGGCAAGCACACTGGGCGGGTCTCTCAGCCCGGGGGTGACCGTGCCCCCCAGGGCACACCTGGCAAAGTCAGGACACATCCGAGGCTGTCACAAACGGACTGCCTGTGGGGGAGGCCGGGGGTGCTGCCGCACCGTGTGCTGTGCAGAGGACAGCCCGAAGCCTTGGGCTGGGACCCCCAGACACCAGATGCTCGAGGGGCCACAGTCGATGAGCCTTCTGTACTAAAGCAGCCGCCCTGTAACCAGCAGCCTCAAGAGTGTTGTGCCCGAAACGGCAGGAACGTGCCCCGGGTCCTCACGCACCTCCCCCAGGATGCGGACCGCGGCTCTGCCCAGGGAAGACATGACACGAGCGTCCACGGAGTGGCCACGACCCGTGCGTCCCTGCTCAGGGCAGCAGGACTCACCGGCTCCGGGACCACGGGGTGAACCAGCGCAGCTCCCGGTAGTTGCCCTCATTGGCCAAGGCCATTTTGGGTCTGATGAGCAGGATCTTCCTGTGGGCAGGAGAACAGGACGGCGCCTGAGATGAACGTCTGGCAGCCAGGGACGGCCCACGGGTTTGCCCTCCCGACAATGGACGACGACCGAGTTGGCAAGACCCAGCGGGTGTGCTGTGCGGGCAGCTACAGTGCGGTGTCTGCCGGGAAAACAGGCTCACCACCCTCCCTCGAACAACTTCCAGCCAGCAGCCCCACCCCACGGTCTCTCTCCTCATACCCGAAGGGTCTACGGTGGGCAGAGACCAGAAGCAGTGACATTAAGGACCGGGCGTTTCTGGAGCTGCCGCCCAGCACACAGCTCCCACGGACTGCGTGGTTCCAGGGACCACCGGTTCCCGGGGGCTTGCCAAGGGCCACAGAGCCTGGAGGAGGCGGCCGCCACTTACCCATTGAGAAATATCACCCTGCAGTTGTAGCGGACATTTTTGTGCATGACAGGCCTGCGGAGAGAGGGGACACATGCGTGTCTGTGAACAGCAAGACCCCATATCCGTTTCCATACGAAGCGTCCTCGGGCCTGGCGGGGGAAGCACAAGGCTCCGTGGCAGCTTCCGCAGGGGGCTCCTGCCCTGGCGGGGGCTCCAAAGAAGAAACACTCTTCTAACGCAGCAGTCATTCCCTCTCCGACTCTCCCTCTCTCCTGGAACATTCTCAGACCTTCCACGGGCTGCCCCCCCATCTGCACACAGCCCTGTCACCGTGTCACCTCTCCATCCCCTACTGGCCTCAGGCACCAGCCCCTGTGCCTTCCTGGTTCTCCTTCAGCACACCTCCTGACCTGCGGCCTGTGCCCCTTCTAGGAGGCGGGCCTTCTAGGGGCTGGGGGTGCTGAGCACATGTGTCCCCCACTCTGCCTGGACCCGTCCCACAGACAGCGCACTTCCCGCCCCCCACCCCCCACCGTGTCCTCCCCTCCACAGGAAGCCATGTGCTCTGCTAGGGCAGAGCTGGGCAGGCATCAAGGACGTCAGAATATAATTATTGTTTTGTTCAGAAGCTTATAGGCCCAGATAAACGCTGGATCTGAAAAGAAAATATCTTTATAAACATGACTGTTAACACTTTAAGAGCAAAAAGCAGAAAAATAAAAATAGGATTACGGGGCGCCTGGGCCCCTGAGCCTGTTAGGTGTCTGGCACTTGATTTCGGCTTGGGTCATGATCTCAGGCCCCACATTCGACTCCCTGCTTCTCTCCCACTCCCTCTGCCCCCTCCCTGCTCTCTCTCTCAAATAAATAAATAAATCTTTAAAAAATAGGATTATAGACTCCAAGCCCACAGAAGAAAGCGGAGCACAGGAGAGCTACCAAAGACAAGGGCAAACCAGAGGGAGACAACAGGACCAGAGCAGGACCGAGACCCTGTGCGGCCTGAATCAGGACACGCAGGAACGTCCAGGTCCTAATTTCTGGAGCCTGTGAACGGACCACCTTACGTCGCGAGAGGGGCTTTGCAGATGCGACGACTGTTACAGACCCTGAGATGGGGAGACTATCCCGGACTACCTGGGGCCGCACACTAAAGCCACCAGGTCCTTACAGGAGGGAGGAGGGGATCAGAGCAGGAGCCGTGAGCAAGGAAGCGGAGACGCAGGGGACCACTACGTACCTGCGCCGTATACACCTGCGTCTCTGGACCCCGCCCCCTACATACCCACACCATATACACCTGCACGTATGGACCCCGCCCCCTTACCTACCTGCACTGTATACACCAGCATCTCTGGACCCCGCCCCCTACATACCCGTGCCGTGTACACCTGCACCTATGGAACCATGGGGTCCGCGCGCTGATGTGGAGTGACGTGGCATCATCCCAGAACTTACCAGTAAGTGGAGAAAGTGCCATGTGTCTGCGCGCGGCAGGGAGAATGCTGCGTCCCCGCTGTGCACCCTGTGCTCCCCCACGCACAGGCGCTTCTGGGGGAATCTGCAAAACCGCTTCCTAGAGCTGCCTCCGAGGGGGACTTAGGGGTCTACAGGCCGGGGAGGGAACAAAACCCACTTTTCAACAGAAGGCCTTTTGTATCTGGAATGTGCGGACTCCACACCCCTCCCGTAGGAGAGCTCGCACCCTGAACCTTTCTTATTTTCTGAGTTTGCCTTTCCGACGCTCGCGTTGGCACTTACATTCCCACGTCACAGATGATATCCCGAGTGACCGGGGATTCGAGAAGGGCAGCCAGGACTTGGAGCGAATGCAAGAGGGTGTCCGACTCGTAGTAATGATCCCAACACCCGTAGCCACTGCAGAGGAAGGGAGCAGGCGGGTGAGCCCCGGAGATGCCCCAGGGGAGGCGAGCAGGGGGGCAGGGGAGCCCGGGAGACACTGCGGGAGCAGCAGGGGCCCACGGGCCATCGGGGTCAGGCGTGCGGGAGTGCAGCCCAAGACTGCCCTCTCTAACCCGAGCTAGGATCACTGCTACCACAGAAGATGTGTTTCCCCGGAAATGAAGAAACCTGTGGCCCCAGGCTCTTTCTTCTAGCTTTAAATTACAGTGAGAAATTCTCACTTGTGTCAACATGTCTACCTATGGGGTTTGTTTTTTTTTTAACTGTAAACATGCCCAAATCCCATGGACCTACAGAGCCGGACCCACAGGAAGACGCTCCTCAGGCAAGGGGCATCATTAACATCCTTCCATTACCGCTCACAGAGCGACTCCTAGCTCCGGCTGTGGGTCATGCTGGTAGCAGGCTGGACAGCGTCCCCCAGACGGCGTCCCCCAGAAACCTGCGTCCCCTCCTAACCTCCAGAGCCCGGGAACATGACCGCATTAGGGGGAAGGGTCTCTACAGAGGTAATTAAGGATCTAAGGAGGACAGGAGCCTGAACGACTTGGGCAGGTCTGAATCCAACAGGAGGAGGACACGACATGGAGGGGGGGCACGGGAAAACAGAGACGGGAGACATGCAGCCGCAGGACAAGGGACTGGGTGACAGCTAGACGAGACAGGATGGGTCCTCCCCTGGAGCTTCTGGAGGAAGCAGGGCCCTGTCAACACCCTGATTTGGGGCTTCTGGCCTCCAGAACCAGCTGCTTAAAGTCACCCAGCCTGTAGGACTGTGTTTCCAGCAGCCCCAGGAAACTCAGAGCTCCAGGACGTCATGAAACGTGAAGACAGGCTTGCGGGCAGTCTCCTGGCACGTGTGTGCCGGGAACAGAGCAGAGAGCGTCGGTAAGCTACTTTCAAGTCTTCAAAAACGCGTCCTTCCTCCGGTGCAGCAGCCTGGGAGCGATGGCGCAGGTGCCGAGCAAAGCTTGTGCAGGCGGACGCAGACCTCCACAAACGGGCATTTGCATGTTTAACGTCTAGAAGGCAGGCCTCTCGGCCTTGGGCTCTGAGAAGGAAAGTCCAGGTTCTCAGAGGAAAACGAGATCAAGGAGATGCCCCCGGGGAGGGCTCAAGACCTGGGCTGGCCTTTTCCTGGGCAGAGTCCTGTTCCAGGGGTCTCGTGCCCTGGTGGCCCCCGCGCCGCATGGGACACCGGACGGTAACACATGCCAAAAGTGCAGGCATCAGCGGGCCCCTTGGCCCTGGGGCTGGCCGACAGCTGGAGGGGCACTCTGTAACGGGGGCTGTAAGTGCCCTCCGCCCAGTTTAGGCAGCAGTCGTCCATCCGCAAAGTCTACCAAATTAGCCCGAAGAACACAGACAGCCTTTCTGGCAAAGGACCTCTGGGTCCGCAAGTCAGCCTGTCCCAGGGGCACCGGCCCCTCATTGCCCTTCCAAGTGCCCCTTTTGGGGCGGGAGCTGGAGCCCTGACCACCAGGGAAAGGAAGTGGGCGTGCTCTGCGAACGGGCTTGGCTCCCGTCCTGCCCCAGCTTCCTCTCTGCAAACCGTTGCAAATAATAAAGGGGGGCCTGCTCAGCGGGCTAAAAATGACATGATACAACTATACCATCCTGGGATCCCGTAGCTAAAATCCTCCGTCTTTTAAAATGACACGTCCAGATTTGGGGGCCAGGTGTGGGGAGAGCACAGGACAAAGAAAGGGACAAGGCCCTAACCTGGAAGTGTCTGGGCCACGACAACTCTGGGGGAAAGGGCTCTTGAGGGCAGCCCTGCAGTGGGAAGAACAGACAAAATATAAAGACAGAGCCAGGACCCCGGGGAAGAGGTCACATAGACACACCAGGACCCCAGGGCCCGAGGAGTTGAAGACCAGGTTAAGTGAGGGTACAAAAGGCCTTGGCTACTATGGGAGACACAGCCTGAGCTGAAGCTGGGGTTCCAAGCACAGAAGTCCAGCTCGCGAGGAGAAGGACAGGAGTGGCCTTAAGGACAGATACAAAGACATGGCAAAGAAACGCTTTCTGTTTACACAAAGCCCAGAAACCGAGGCGGGGTCATGGCCCGAGGAGGGACTTCCCGATCCCACGAATGGCCAGGACTTGTACATGTGGGAACCCAGAGGGCCGCTGACATCTGTCACGAAACCACCGTAGTTCGTAAGACACTTAAACGCGACGACCGCTTGCTTATTTCTGAATAAGGGACAAGGAGGACCCGGCTTCCCGATCGCTGCGAGAAGGCAGAGCGGAAATGACCACTCACACTCGCTTGTGGAGACACGCTGAGACCAGGAAGTGACGGCCCCACGTGAAAGGGAGGGCCTGGGAAGGGTGGTGGGCTCGGCCATCAGCCCGGCTGCCGGGACTCCAGGCCACCAGCAGGCCACTCGCCGGCTTCCGATGGCCCTCGGCAGGCCCGCACAGCCGCACCTCTCTGTGCCCACCGCCCTCCACTGCGTTTCCGCCGCAGGGAGCTGATGCCGCTCCCTCTCCCTCCCTGCCCTGCAGGGTCCGTGTTCAGCTCTCACCATATTTCCAGTTCCGGTCCCAGCCTGTATCTTGCTCCTTTGCGTTTGGCAATGTCGATACCTGAGAAAGAGAGAGAAGAGCAGTTTCAGTACTTACACCGCGGTCGGAGGCGGATGAAACACTGCTGCATCAGGTGGGATAAAAAAGCAGACCACGAACCAGAGCACTCAGTGATCTCCCGGACCCCGACCCACACGGCCAAGGAGCGGCTGTCCCACAGACCCTGCTTACACCGGCAGGAAACGAGACACAGGGCCTGCAGGACTGACCCTTAGCATGGGGGAGGAGGAGGAAGCCACAGCCTGGTCGCTCATTAACAGGCAGGTGTGGAAGACGAGTGCGGTGAGAGGGCGGGATTCAAGGACCGCAGCCTACAGCGGCACCACTGGGCACCGGCAACCTCTGGTTTGGGACAGCGGGCCCAGTGCCCACCTGCCGGGGAAAGGCCACCGGAACAGAGACTCAGCTCTGGCCACTGACCGCCTCGCTCCAACGACTGCTCTGCGCTCGATGAGATGAAAGCAGGTTGAGGGTGAAGGTCTAGGGCACGTTGCTGAAAAGATGCCCTCGCGTGCACCTCCTGTTCTTACTGCTCTTAGCAAACCCTCTTGCAAGGAGTGGCTCTGAGCAAGACGGCCTGGCATGAGCACACCTGTGGGGCTGCCCAGGACAGCCCCGCTCCAGCTGTACGTATGAGTAGTTGGACCTTTTCCACTCACAGATGAGCTGGTGCCAAGGCTCCCATATGGGGACCCTCGCAACAACCACACCCTAGTCTCTAAGCTCCCAGGCTTGTCCCTCACTCTGCTCCCCTCCTGGGGCCGGCTTCTCCCGCAGTCTACCCACCGGGATGGTCTCCAGGCACCAGACACAGGAACAGCACTCCCACCTGTCGTGAAGTCTGACTTGCTTCAAGCTCACGTGCTCCTCGCTTGCTGACCTAAGTCCCTGGATCTGCCGCAGAACCAACCTGCTCTCCTTGAGATCGTCAGACCACTGGCCTCCCAGGGTGAGGGACCTGGCTCTCCCAGATGATGCACCCTGACCACATCGAGAGCAGCTCAGGGGAAGGGGGGATGCCGGTGAGTCCATTCAGGGTCGCGACCACATCTGACTGCCGTCTGGGCACCTGCTCCTCCCGCACACAGCCCCCTCCCTCTTCCAGAACCTTCCTCTTTGAAACCCTCGGGCTCCCCCTGGACAGGGGTTAGATGGCCTTTAACACGTTAGTCCACCATCTTCCCAGGCTGCCTGGTTCCTGAATAAAGCAACTTTCTCCTTAACCCACCCCCCATCACTGGTTGCTCGAGTGTGGACGGCAAGCTGCCGGGCCTGAGTTGGGAACCAGTTCTCTGGTTACAAAACCATGTTTCCTGGGACACTTCTTCACGACACCCTCCTCGCTGGTGGTTGGCCACGCTCTCCCCTTAAATGCCTCTAAACATGGGCAACTCAGCACCTCTCAGCAGCTGGGCCCTGGCTGAGCCATACTCGACCCCAGAGGTATGAAGACAGGTAAGCCTCAGCCTCTGATCCCAGTCCCTACCTCTGCAGCCAGGCTTTCCCTACCAGGAGTGTACACCAGGGGTCCCCCCAGGCCCGGGAAGCCACCCCAATTCGAGTGGCCCGCGAGGGGGGCGGTCATTATGCATCATCTCATCTGCCCCCAGGTGGGCTGCGACCTTCCAAAGAGCAGGGATGTGTGTGCATCACAAGGAAGCAGGGGCCGGCCTGGACCTCGGCCCGCCCCCACCCTGTGACCCCGCCACCCTGCCCGCCCCTGCCCCACCCCGTCCCTCCGCTCCCCCAGCACCTGTGCCCGCCACACCCCGTCCCCACTCGCACCTGTCCCGCCCCGGACCCCGGCTCCGCTACCCGGGACACACCCCCCCGCGCCCTACTCTGTCCTCCCACTCCCCCCACCTCGCCGCCCCCAGACTCACTCTTTAAAATCCTCTGCAAATTGCCCTCGAAGTCCAGGGCCCACTGGTTGAGCGCGCAGGTGGCCACGGTCACCTTCCGGCCCATCCTGACCGCAGCGGCTCTTCCGGGTTGCCGGGCGGGTCTGGCTGGCCGCGGACCGCCCAGCCGCGGCAACAAGCCCCGCCCACGCCCCGCCCCGCGCGCGGAGCTCGAGGCCGCGGCCGCGCCTGCGCAGGAGGGAGGCCCGGCCCCCAGCCCCACCGCGAGCGCGGTCCCGGGAGCCCGCCGCACCGCCCTCTGCTGTGTGCCCCGCCTCCGCACGAGCTGCCCCCGGGGTGCCTGGGCAGCCGGACTTCTTCCCTCGTCGTGTAAGACTCGTTGTTTTCATTCTTTTCCGCAGCGGCTGCCGCACGGGAGGACGAGAGCCCCAGCCCGCCGCTCGCGCCCGCGGGCTTCTGCGCGGGGGGCGGCCCGGGCCAGCACCGCGCATGCGCTCGCGGCGAGCGTCCCTCCCGCAGCGGTCAGCGGGCCGCCGGGCCGCTGGGCCCGCTTGGTGCCACCGCTCTTGCCCGGAGCGCTGGGGACGAGCCACTGAGCAAGTTTTCACATTTCCTTAACCCAGGTCGTTCTTCAGCGCATTTAGGGTAGGATCCGGTTTCCCGTGTGAGTTACTCTGCCTGCCACGGGCCGGACCGTCCGTCGTCTTCTCCCGACCTGCGGTGCTGCTTCTGCCACACGCACTTTCACACCTGAAATACATCCCCCGTCTCTAAAGTACCACTTGTTCGTGGCGGACAGCTGGAAAAGGAAGGAAGGAAGGGGAAAGGGCAGGAAAGGAAAGGAGGAAGGAAGAGAGAAGACAGACAGGAAGGGAAAGAAGGAAGAAAAGGAAAGGAGGAAGGAAAGAAGAAACGAAGAGGGAGAGATAGAAGAAAGGGCAGGAAAGGAGGAAGGAAGGAAGGAAGGGAGAGAAAAGGAAAGAAAAAGGAAGAAAGGAAGGAACGGGAAAGGAAAGGAGGCAGGCAGGCAGGCCGGGGCCCTGCTCTAGATTAAGGCTACAGAGCCCTGACCCCTGGTGCAGCGCGGCTTCCTGACTGGGTCCGGACTTGTAACGAACGGCTGTAAAAGATAGGAGTGGGGTGATGGGGGAAACTGAATGCAGACGATAGGTTAGATAATGGCATTGCGTGGACGCAGAATGTCCAAAGCCTCATGTGTCTTGTTTTGGTTACGTAAGAAGTGGCTGCTGAAGTATTTAGGAAGAAGACATCACCCGCAGGAAACAGAAGCGGGGGTGGGGGGGTGGACACAGACTGAGTTGGGGAGAAAGAAATTAAAGGTGGCAAACTGTTGGAAGCTGCTGAATCTAGGTATGTGGGTGCTCGCTTACTAAGGATTCAACTGGCTTGTATGTTTGACATTTTTAAAAATAGAAAACTGCAGGGGAAAAAATGTCTGTGAGGGACACAGAGCTGTGCCAGCCAGATCCTGATGCAAACAAGAACTTTGTCCAAACGCGGGGAGTGGGGCCAGCAGACACCTCCAATTGCCCTCCCCCCCAGGGCCTGCTCGGTTGGCAAAGCTGCCCAGGGTCAGGCCTGTGCCCGGGTGGCGCTGTCTAGTGGCTGATCTCCGGAGGTAGGAGTATGTATGCTCCTTGGGCATCCCTGGCAAGCGGGACGACGGTCGTGGGTTGTTACCACCGGATCTGGCCCACGCTTGCCTGGCAGTTCAACCTCTCCCTCTTTCCAGCGCCGCTGCTCCTTTCCCTCTCAGGTCTGTCTGCACGGCGGGACCCTCACCGGAAACTCCATCTCCCTCACTTCTGGGGGAAGCAGGCCTCCCGGGCCTCCCAGCAGAGCCCTCCCTGACACCCCCAGGTCAAACCGCTATTCACGCGCTCACCCTCTCCCGCCCTGCCCGCTTCAGTCTTCTGCGCAGCACCTTCACCATCTGAGCCTGTTTGATTATTGCATATTGATTACAGCTCCCCTCCCCCACCCCTAACAGACCCGACCCCTGGGAGCAGGGACGTTGTCCGTTCTGGGGGTTGCTGTGCACCCGGCGCCGGACACAACAGACGCTCAGCAAGGGGCTGCTGCGCGCCTCGGAAGCCGCACCAGCGGAACGAGGGAAGGGGCGCAGGGGGTGCAGCTCGCGGGCGGCCACCGGCGGGGGCAACAGGGGCGCGGGGTCGCGCTCCCGCAGCCCCCATCCGCGGGGCGGGCCCTCGCGGTCGGTTTCACGCCCCAGCCCAGCGCAGTGGCGGGGTTGGTGGCCCGGAGTCAGCTCAGGGGGTGGGGCGAGGCGCGCGACCAATCGCGGGGCGCAGGGATGCCGGCCCCGCAGGGCCCGCCACCGATTGGTCGTCTGTCGCCTCACGTCATTCTGGGGCGGGGCCTCGGGGCGGCTCCTCTAGGCCGCGGTGTTGGTCGCGGGCCTGGAGTAATTGGAGAAGCGGTGGCTGCGGCCTCGGACGCGCAGGTGAGCGGGCACGATGCGCGCGGGGGGCTGGGGGCGCCCGGGTGAGCGGGCGTGGGTGGTCTCCTCCCAGAAGCCTGGCGCCGGGTCTGAGGACCGCGTGCCCTCCTGGGCCCACCTGAGCCCTTCCTGCAGCCCCGGGGAGGGAAAGGAGCCGGGCCCCGCGGGGCGCCACGCCCGGTGCCCGGACTTGAGACCAGGCCGCGAAGATCCGGGCTGCTCGGCGCCAGCCCGGCGCCACGGAAAAGACCTTTCGTGTCCTCTCGGAAGAGCAGACGATGCCCCTTCTTTCTGAGCGCGGTTTGGCTCGTTCCTTTTGATCAAAATGTTGAGAATCTTGTGTATTTTCTCCAAAAACATGTGTGGATGGCTGGGGAGGGAGCCGGGCACGAGGTTCGGAAAGAAGGAAGGAGGAGAGAGAAGAACGCAGTTCTTGTCATCGTTCCTGCAGCCGACCGACCGCTCTCGGCCTGGTTGTGATGGTGACAGCTGGTCCCTCTGGGGTCTGCGCCAAGTTCCGGTCGGCCGGGAAGCATCTCTCGGAACCTTATCTGATCTGCGGGGGTCTGGCTTGGGTGGGACTCTGGGAATCCAAGAGTCGCGGGACGGAAGAACACAGATGAGCCGAATCGCACCCGAGGAAGACGGACCTGAACATCAGAATCCCGGTTGGGGTGGGCAGCCTCTCTCCTGGCTGTGAAGACGTCGGAGAAGACCTCCTGTAGGAGTTTATCCCGGGACATAGGCCGGTGCAAGAACGCCATTAGGACTCGCTGTTTATACTTGCAAAACCCAGAAACAACCAATGACTGTCAGTGAGAAGATTGGATAAATCATGACACACAGTTTACGGCAAGCAATAAAACCAATGAACTCCGCGTGGAAAAGGGGTCCCTGGCGTGTCACAGCCCAAGGGGCAGGAGGGAGATAGTCCGTCGTTAAAAAGACGGCTTGAGAAGCCATCCACCCCAACCTTAGACAGGGATGCAAATACAGGTGCTCTTTTCCTATTTTCCAGGAAACAGACTTATGTAATAAAATAATTGAGCAACAACGAAAAGAATGTTTAAGCAGCTCTTGGAGTCCTAAGAGCCACAATTCTGGGAACGTTTGTGGCTGTAATGGGGGTCTGGGAGGTCACCTGTGCATGCCCCCACCATTCCCAAGGCGCGGTGGGACTGATCTTTGGGGTGATTCTTGGTTTACCTGCAGCTTCTCTACAACCCAGCCCTGCCCGCTGACCCTGGGCCTTCTGCAGTGGCCGCTCCCTTAATTCATAGGTACAGTTCACAAGCCTCATTTCCAAGTGCAGGGGCTCCTTTGGAGATGTGTGGCCCCTCGGAGGTCTTGGCGCTGGGAAGCTCCGGCCTGGCTTGCCTTGAGAGGACTGAGGGCCCAGCGGGGGCCCAGGGGAGCTGCTCCTGGGCCGGTTTCCGAGGGCTTCCGAAATAGGCATGTGCCCTGGGTGGAAAGAAATGCCCAGAGACGCTGAGCCCTGATTCTAAGGGTAAGCCGTGGCTTTGACCATGGCTCCAGGCTTCCGCTCTCCAAAAGCCACAAATACATGCTCGCTGTAATGCAAGTTTAGAAGTCAAAGGTAGAGGTCCTTTCCTTTCTTGTTCCTCCAGTCCACACCCAGGAGACGTTACCCTCCATCCGCACAGGCCCGAGTGAGCAGAGAACGCCACCTCCTCGTCTGTAAGATGGATGTTGTGATGCCAGCCCTCTGGGGTTGGTGCGAGAACCCAGTAGGATATTGGACGCTTGGAACTATGGAGATGCTCAGTGAATAGCCAGTGTCTGTAAAGGCTGAATTGTCCAGGGATGGCCCCAACAGTCCCTTGTGTTCTTCTAATATCTTGCAATCCCCACATCAAGGTCTGGAGCCTGATTCCCTTCCCCTTGGAAGGAGGTGGACTCAGGACTCCCTGTAACAGACACAATGTGCTGGAAGTGTAGTCAGCTGTCTTCTCGGACCCTCAGAAGGGACGGTACAACTCTGCCGGAGCCCCTGCTGGTTCCCGGAGCCTCTTCCCATGGCGCCGAGCCCCCAGGCTGTGAGGACACCCCCGCTGGCCACACGGGGAGGCCATGTGAATACAGACAGGTGTTCCGGTACACCCCAGCTGCCCCCCCAGTGTCCCAGATCCCTGACCACAGAAGCCATGAGAATGGAGGAAAGACTGTTGTTTTAAGCCACCAGGTAGCAGTGTGGTTAGGTACGAGGATAGCCAGAATGCTCTGGGGCTGGCTTTGGGGACGCGTGGCTGTTCGAGCTCTGCTAGTCTGAAGCTGTGCGCCTTGATCGCCTGCATGAGCCCAGCCGAGCCCTCCCGAGGCCTGAGGGCGCGGAGGACCATTTCGGCCAGAGCTGGCTCTCTTTTAGGTGAACTCTGTTGGGGTCAGGGAGGGCTCTGTGCCCTTGGTGCCATGACCTCATGTCCTTGAGCACCCGGGTGACCGCTGCGTGTAGGTGAGGAAGCTGAGGCCTAGCAGGGGGTCCCATGACTTGGGTTCCAAGTGGGCGGCAGGAATCGGCCCCGCTGACAACTCAGAGCCTTGATGGTGACCTTGGGCCTCCAGGACGTTCCTGGTGCCAGCCCCCAGACGTCTCTGCCACGTTCCTGGACATCTAGTGCCTCCCCAACTTCTACACTTTGAAGGTGCCAAAAAGCTGCCATGG